ACACACACACACACACACACACACACACACACACAATATTTGCGTTAAATAGAAATATGGAATAGTTTGTTGGCAACAATTAATGTAAGATATAAGATAACATGCTGATTCATGTAAACTCACCTGAATACACAACATGCACGGGAACTGACAGGAAGATACACGCCAGACTTTATTTAAATAGTATAAATCTCATACAAAATCAACTGTGTTGGAATCATTCCTTTCCTCCTCCCCATCAGAGCACACAGACAGCGACACGCCAGCATCAAACTAGTGATGTTGCTGTCAAATTTACAATCTGAAATTGCTGCCGTGAGTTGTTTGAGGTAAATGTCAGACTTTTATCCACAGACAGTCTGTCAGTTCATGCAACGGTAATGAGGCAGAAAGGACCAAAGACATTCCAGGATCGATGCATGCGAACACGTTAACATCTTTGGCGTCATGTAGTCTGAGACGTTGTCAATCTATTTATTTTGTGTCCCGGCCTCGTGAGACATTTAGATGCAGAATTTACTGTTTTTAAATCACCGTGCACGACGATGCCCACGTCTGTCTGATCAGACCGTCGTGAAGCTCTGATCCCAGCTGCTTTATATTAAAGAGGCCGTCAGCAGGTTTTAAAGACGACACCAACTAACCACAACTGGCTCATCGGGGACGTCTAGTTTGAAAAACGTGGTCTAAAGACTAAAGAAATGATTTGAAGTGTAGCATCCAGTGTTTTGGGAGTTTTACTCGGGATATCTTTGCTTCTGCTGCACGTTCTTTGTTGAATGTGTCTCTTTCACATCATCCAACAGTTCAGTCCAGCACTTCCATAACGTTGGAGTACGTCTCTAACTGCAGATGTAACTGCTGCCAGCTGTGTGTTGCACAGATGCAGGCAGTGGATGCTGATTCTATGCTGTTAAATAGCAGAGATATTCTAGACCAAGAGGAATTTGTGAATAGATTTGAGGGTCATTATATAACTTGTGATTTAAAAAAACATCCAGAATTATGATTGTATTTGAGGAACAACTTAGTTCAATCTGTTATTCATGTGTCTGCTCTCTGGATAGAGTCACATTCATCCTCCAAAGGGCTCGAGCAATAACGTCTTGTTCAAATTGTTCCCCAGCCAACCACAGCGCCAAGCAGTGCCGGACGCCGTGCGCCATGAGAGCCACCTGCAGCGAATGCACCAGCAGCAGCTCGGAGTGCATGTGGTGCAGCAACATGAAGCAGTGCGTGGACTCCAACGCCTACGTGGCCTCCTTCCCCTTCGGACAGTGCATGGAGTGGTACACAATGAACAGCTGTCCACGTAAGACGTCTCGCTCTCACGTATTCATTTACAGGTTTAATACGACAATCATCGGGAGTCTAGACACCTTCAATATATGCGCGGCTCTGAATATAGAGGCTGAATATCATTTCCCATTATTACATAAATAATACCACAAAACAATGTTTTTATGTCCTTCAGTCTCCGTCATAAAAGGTGCAGAGTGACATTTACATTTATTAGAACACAGAATTAATAATAGAGAGACGCTGTAGAGAGGAAGGACACTGTCCTTCTGCAGATATTAGGTTTGACATTGAGTGCGTCTTTATTAATAGTAAAGTTGCTCCTTTATAATTGACGGGAGGAGTTCATTGAGAACGAGGACTTCATGATGAGACGTCTGTTGTAATGTTCCTTCTGAGAGGCGTCTTCTAAAGAAACACGAGGGAAATAGTGACCGTGTTCAAGGAGCACTCCTAATAATTCATTTATCTTTGAGCCGGTGCAAAACTATGGAAGAGCATTAGGGCCATGAAGGGCACAAGAAGAAGAGAGGGGAGAGGTGGGATTTAAGTTTTTTTACAATATTTTTAGATTTTCTAGAATAAAGTTAAAATGTCGAGAATAAATTTGAACTTTCAGTATTTGCGCCGACTGTAGTAGTTTGATTTATTATACGTTTATTGTCAATGTGTCAACTTTATTTCAACATTTTGAGAATAAAGTTTATTTTTATGTCAAGATTTTTGCTTAATTCTCAATATTTCTCAGAATTTTTACAAGAAAAAAATCTGAAAGTTCAGCTTTAGCATTTCAAATGAATTCTCAAAATGCTAAATAAAAAGATCTTCCTCCGACGTCATTCCTTATGCCTGGCACTGATACTACTACACACAAAACAGTTCAGCTGAACATGCAGGCATGTCTTCATATGTGGAAGATAAAGTTTAAATAATAGATAAATATTTACTTGGTTTGAAACTAAGCTTTTCTTTTAAGGACGGTCCTAAATTACAGGAAACCTCGTTGGGGACATTAGCGACCAGTAACACGAGGCATCGTGCTGAACATCTCGTTAGTAATCTATAATATCTTTTCATCAGCTGACTTGACTCATTGATGACGTCATACCTCAGTGTAACAACCTTTCTGCAGCATCGGCATATCTTGAGTGGAAACCCATTGATTATACTTTTAAGTGCGCACAAATCTTAACATGTATTTCTTATGCCGGTTAACCAAATTTATTCCAAACAAATCACTGTTGCTGCCATAGAAAAGGCTCTCTCTCTCTCACTCTCACTCACGTGAACATGATGCAGCTTTCTACTTAAACCTCCGATTGAACTGCAACGGCTGCACGCACAACAAATCACGAGTCGTTCATGGAGCGAGGAGAAGCTCGAGCACAAATCTGAAGTCCGCTCACGTGCAGTTAATTTACTCCACCACTTGAGCATATGTAGCCATCTTAATCAGACTTTAAAGAAAAGGCCCCAAAATGGCAACACTTTAAATCCCGGTGGCTCTCTGGAGCGCAGCGTCTTTTAAATGTTGGGCTGTTAAACCGCATTAAACCGGCGGCCCCTGCAGTTGATGACATGGCGATTAATAATCTGGTTCCATAGTTTGATAACTTAGTCTCCGGCTGGTGCTTTGTTTTGTGTACAGCGCAGAAGAGAACAATTTTCATTTATTTAACCTGGCAGGTCAATTAAATACAAGTTGTAGCTTACAGCCATTTGCAGGGAAAGCCCTCGAGGGCGGAGAGGTAGGCATTTAAATACGGGCAGAGGATCAGGAATGAGCTAGATTAACTGTTGAGCCTTGCAGAGGTATTGTGGGTGTTATTAATTTAAACTTCGGGACCTTATTTACAAACTTACTCACCACTAATGCTGTAGGGCAATCGTTTCTGAATGGACCCCTTTAGTTTCCTGACAGTTCTAGATATCTCTGGTTGTCGTGTGCTCTGCTGCAGCGGAGAACTGCTCCGGCTACAGGACGTGTGGCCAGTGTCTGGACCAGCCCGGCTGCGGTTGGTGCACCGACCCCAGCAACACGGGCAGAGGGCAGTGCATCGAGGGCTCGTACCGCGGGCCCTTCCAGACCTCGGTCCCGGCCCCGTCCACCCTGCCCGGCCTGCCCGCCAGCCCGCAGCCCGCCCTCAACGCCAGCATGTGCCCCAGCGAGGCCAAGTACAACTGGTCCTTCATCCACTGCCCAGGTAACCGCTTATCAACACTCGCGTCTGTAACAGAATTGTGTAAATGTTACTGAACTTAAAGGGAAGTCAGTTCACTTGTCATTTGGAAGAACAAAGGGAAAAACTGTTTATTTTATCGCTATCTGTTCTGTTTAATGAATATCATTTTCAAAGGGATACTCCAAGATACATATATTTTGGTATATTTAGCAAGTGAGAAACTCGTTGAGATCCTTCTGATATACACGGTGAAGACTCAACCAGGCCTTGAACCCCAGAACATAACTAAACCAAATAAACAACGTATAGAACTGAAGAGCGTCGGTCTTCCCTCTGAACGCCCGTCTCTCTTAGGCTCCACATGTCCAGTTTGTAATGAACCTTCTGATCCAAACGTAACGATATACTGTACATAGTCTCAGGCTCCTCCATGTATATAATCATAAAACTACTCACCCTATAATAACAATAATATCTGAAAAAGTGTTCCTGTTTTATCCCGTTCATTATGATCCAGACTAATAGAAGTAGAAGCCAACGACCTGCAGTTGTTATTGTGACTTCTCTCACATCCATAGACCTGTGCAGTACATCTCGACAGATAAAGCTGGCAGTCATAGAGGAAATCAAAGTAACGCTATTTGTCACACGAGGACTTCATGTGCAGCACCGACAGACACTTCAGATCCCAGACTTCATTCCACGTTCTCTACTCTCATATTAACATCCATCTTCACTCATGTGTGGGCCTGGGGCTGTTTATTCAAAAAAAAGTGAAAAGTTGTTGTTTTTCCCGGTGATGTTCATGCAGTGTGGGCTTTGTTTACTCTCCGACAGCCTGTCAGTGCAACGGTCACAGCCAGTGTGTCAACCAGAGCGTGTGCGAGAAGTGCGAGGACCTGACGACCGGCCGACACTGCGAGAGCTGCATCTCCGGCTTCTACGGAGATCCGACCAACGGGGGCAGCTGCCAGCGTGAGTATCCGCTCCGTCCGCCACTAAGTAAAGCCGCCCGGTCTGCGCACGGCTTCATTTAACTCCTCGGTGTTTTTACAGTTTCATGTCTGCCGTTTTGTCTGATCCCCGGCTGCACGGTGAGGCGTTCCCGCGGGGATGTTACAGATGTTCTCTACGGCTCTGCAGCTAATGCTGACAGTCGGTCAATCAGAAAACAAATCAATCGTCCATTCCTTCAACAGCTTAATCGAGCTTACCGATATACACACAGCCACTCTGTGTTTCTCTTTTTGTCGGGATGCTCTAATTCCACGTGTCCCTTTGGAATATATGTATATTTATATTGACTTAGTTCTACATCAGTGACAGCCATAAACCAGCCTCTCTGCATATCTTCATCTTGTCAGTATTATGCACTCGTTGTTGATGCTTCTTATTTCCTGCTTGCAGCGACGCATCCCCCCCAGGGACATTAAAGACATGTTTTACTTGACATCTAATCGTGTCATTCTTTACATCACTTTGACTCAGCAGCCGTTAATGAGCGTGAGCAAAAAGTGCACAAAAAGAAGATGAAATCCTAGTATGGCTTGTTGTTCCACCAGCTCTCCCCCACGTTGTTCCACAGATTTCCTTCATTATTTGCAGCTGTTTGTACCGAGAGGCTCAGTGATCTTTAATGCAAAGGACGGCTCACATTTATACAGGTGTGATGGTCCTCAAAATCACCAAACCTAATGGACGTTTGGCATCTGTTCACGGACACAGAAAGTGTCTCTTGGGTCACCTCGGATGGGCCGGGAGCCGGAGCTCCTGTGGGAGATGCAGCTTTAAAGCTAAACTTCTGGATTTATTCCCCCCTTGTCCTTTCCTTGGAGAATGAGACGCTTGACCCCGATGAGACAGTCAGGAAAAGCAGAGTTGCCATCGAACTTTTCATAACTGTGTCAAACTTCATGTAAGAGGAAAAGCTGGTATTTAGTAAAAACACAAGTATAATGTGATGTAATATACAAGGAACATGTGGACAGAAGCGTTAGTGTTTATAAGCACCAGAGTCTCGCTTTACTGCATTTATACACAACATATAAAAGACATTTTAAAAAAGGAGCTCACATTCATGTTACATAAGAGTCAATCTATCAACGTCATTGAATGTGTGTTAATAAACATGTGGTGGTATTTCTTCACTTACTGATGCACTTAAAGTTTGATGTCTCATGTCTTCTGTTCAGCCTGCAAGTGTAACGGCCACGCCAGCATATGCAACCCCAACAACGGCAAGTGCTTCTGCACCACCAAGGGCATCAAAGGAGACCGCTGCCACCTGTGAGTCTGTCCTCGTCTGTCCTCGTCTGTCCTCGTCTGTCCTGCCTCGGAAAATGTTTTAACCCTCTGAACCTCGAGCAGTTCATGGATGTTTTGTTGTTGTTGTTTTTTGCTCATATTACATTTTACTTGCTGTTGCCTCCTTTTTCTCTGCAATATACATTCTAGAAGCAGGACTTCCTGATGAGCGTTTCAAAGTTAAAGCCCTTCAAAATCTCAATCATGAGCTAACTTCAAATCACAATCATGAGACAATTTGTCTGATTTCAGAAGAGATTTTAGAGGAAAAGGTGCATAGTTACAGAATAATTTCACCTCAAGGTGTCACTCAGACAGAACCAGCACATTCGGATGTAGCATTTCAAAATTAAAGCCCTTCTCATTTAAAAATTGGAAAAAATTGAATCTATACATCGAAGATTTCTCCAAGTGCGCACAAGTGTTACCGATATGGGGGGGGGGATCAGGCTCTCGCATGCTCTACATATAATACAAAATATTTACGTTGTCACCGCCCCTCTCTTCCCCTCCTCTCTGTGTGAACAGCCTGCAGTTCAGCTGAACTTTCACAGCATGTTTGTCATGTGACTGTTGGTCTCAGCTGAGTCAACGTTGGATCACCAGTTGCACTGAGAGCCCGAAATGTAATGTTTTTTACAGGATCTGGTTTGAAAAAATGGTTTATTTTTGCTGAAATTTGAAATGAGACATTTAGAATAAAGCAATTTTGATTAAAAAAAATTTAAAAAATCACAATTTTAAGCTTAGATTTATTTATTTTTCCTGATTTATTCGTTTGTTGTCTGAAATTTCTGTTTCTACAGTTTCTGGCTCTTGTAAATGGCTTAACTCTGGCCATGTTCTTTAAGGAACCCACACACGTGTGTGGGTTGTGTGGTTCAGAGGAGTTTCTATTAACTCTGGAACTTTACTTGTGTTTTGTGTTTTTACACAAGCCTCTAGGCTGCCTAAACTCGTGTTCTGTGTGAACTTCATTGAAATTAATTTGTATTTGCACATGTTTTCAAAAAAACTCAACTCTTTTTGTTATGTGCCAAAAAGAAAAACACTTTAAATTCAAGGATTTTGATTAGAAACGTAAATTTACAAAAACTTTTAAGCGAACATGCTAATATGTTTTAAGACTCGGTGCCTCTCTTCTTCTGGTGTCCAGTAATAGCAGCTGTTCATTAGTGCTCGCTGCACTAATCTCAACTCTGGCCTTCATTACCATCGGGCCCCCAAAGCCCATTAAATACATGAGATACAACTTTCACAAACCATCAGTATGAAGATGAGGCTACTTTCTGTGGTGTCTGTTAGTGATGTCTGTCAGCTTCACTCTCTTTCTTCTTGATCTGCTTCTCTTTGTGACTGAAGCAGAACACTAACACCTCTCCCACTGTCAGCAGCTAAACCCTCCTAATTTGCCTGTTTTCTTCCCTCTCTCTCTTCTTCTCTCCCGTGTTTGCCGTCTTCCCCTCGTGTTACGCCTCACTTCCCTTCACCTGTCGGCCGCCTCCTTCTTTCAGGTGTGAGGTCGAGAATCGCTACCAAGGAAACCCCCTCAAAGGAACATGCTACTGTAAGTGGAAATCCAATTATCGACTTCAGTGAAGGTGTGTGTGTGTGTGTGTGTGTGTGTGTGTGTGTGGGGTCGCATACGTTAACCACTGAGGCCTTCCTCTTCCCCACTTGTTCAGGTCGATGCTGAGACAGTCACACGACTCCTAAATCAAAGCAGGTCTCAAGTAGTTTGATGTTTAAAGGGAAAACCGCCCCGAGGAGGAACAGCGCTTCTTAAAACAAGTCGCAGGTGAAAAGAATCGACAGTGAGACGCACATGAAAGTGTTTTTCCGAAGAATGCAGTGAAGCTTCCTCGTTCTTCCCCGGTGTGATGACGGAGACTGCAGCGCTCCACGCTCTGCAGATTAGTCTCCTGTCAGTGTTGTTCCTGTCAACTATGATTACGTGCTGTGGAATATGATAATGTAGACACCGTGGGATTCTAACTAACTCTGTCCTCCATGGCACATAAACACTTATTCCTCATTATTTTATAATTTAATAATGTTCTTTTGAAGTGTACAGAAGGAGCTATAAATAATGGTCGACCTGGCGGAGTCGACAAAAACACAAAGCTGTCGAACTAAATGGGTCAACTCGTGTCGGCCGCTGCTGTTTAGTAACCCGCTTTTCTGACGTGCCTCTAGCAGTTTAAATCAATTACATTTGATTTATGTTTATCGCTGACACGATCTGATGACTAATCAGTCAGCTGATTGTCAGAAAATGAATCTTGGATAGTTCCAGCATCTCAAATAAAAGGATCTTAGATTTGATTGTAATCTGTAATCAACATATAAATAATCAACAGTAACTTGAGCTAAACTTAAAACTCCAAACATTCTTTGGGTCCGGCTCGGTCCGATGTGAGGCTTCGGCTGCTTATCTCTGTTTTTTAAATTACTAGTGCGGTTCCTGCTCTCCAGATTGCTTGGCCGGTGGTATTGCTGCTTGCAGCTTTTCACAAGAACCACTAATCCAGACAACTTCACAGTCGGCCCTGCGCTTCCTTGAGTCCTTCGCGATACACCCGCTGAGTGTGAGGTCGATCGGATGAACGATTGTCGAGAGAATCAGAGGACAGACGGAGAAACACTCCCTCCGTCTCAGTTCGGTTGTAAATTGAATTTTCGGGGGATTTTTGACTGTTGGTCGGATGAAAGGAGACAGTTGATGACTCAGCTCTGGGATCCTGTTGAAACCAATATTCAATATTGGCTTCTGCTGCTTTATAGGTCTTTAATGTAAATGATCAGTTCCCATAAATAATATGTCATTTAGTATTTCACAGATTTTATCTTTTAATATTTTTCACATATTTTACAAATAATTTCCCCCATACTTTACTCATATTTTACTCATATTTTACTCATACTTTACTCATACTTTACTCATATTTTACTCATATTTTACTCATATTTTTCTAATATTCTTTGATTAATTTCCAAATTTGTAATCTTGTGATCTTGACTTTCATGAGGTTGGATTCTGATACTTAATGTTACCGATCAAACAATCAATCAATAGTAAAAAATAATCATCGGTTACAAGTAAACTGTTTGAATTGTGTTTAATGGAGAACCCCAAAACAAAGAGCAGGAGACAGGAAGAGACCTGACGGAGTAGTGAGTGAGAGCAGACGTGTTCACACTACATATCTAGTGTCATTCTGGTAAATCTTTGTTTTTGCAGTATTGTGAATATTGTTGAACGTCAACCTGTGACGGCAATAATAAACTCTCGTTGAGTAGAAATGTGTCTTGGTGGCATGAGAAGATTTCACGAGAGGCTGGAATAAAAAGTGGACAGAAAAGTTTGAAACAAGTGGAAATAATTTTGGTGGAGTTAGACTTTCTACACGTCATCATGGTTGTTGTGACGTTGACCTCCAGCTGTTGTTTAATGCAGGCTCGCTCACAGCCTCGTGACCTTCATCACAGACGCAGTAAATGTTCAGGTGTAAATGTTCAAAGTCAATCAATTTCTAAAAATGATTCTGGGTCATTTTCCGCCCCGAGCGCTGTGTGAAAACATGTTCTTGTGTGACTTTCAAACTAATCGAGCTCTTCTTCTTTTCTAATCCCCTCCACGTTCTCCCACAATTCAAACAGACACGCTCCTCATCGACTACCAGTTCACCTTCAGCCTGTCGCAGGAGGACGACCGCTACTACACCGCCATCAACTTCGTGGCCACACCTGAGGAGGTATGTCTCCGACGGCGAACGCCCCGCCGTCGCAGCAGCTGTCACTGTTATTGGGATTAAAGATTGCAAAGCCGGTACAGGATGGCGACGATGATTTTCTCTCACCTCGACACTTCTCCTGTTGTTTCTTCACCAATTCAGTAATGATGATAACAGAGATTATGACATAATAGTAATAATAAGAAAGTCTTAAGAGAGGCCGGTGCTCAAGAACTAATATAAAATGTTGCTCTCCTGTAAACTAAATGTACAAAAGGACAACGGCCCCGTCTTCTGCTTCGTGACGATTCACTCTCCAGCGAATGCAAGAGGATTTTTAATGTTTTATTTAACTCGAGTACACACAAAGTCCCAATCTACATCCACAATAACCACGAGCTCCGCATTAAAGACGACGCTTAGAAGTGGCAGAGAGATTTTAACTCCAGTGTAAAGTCAAGCAGCGACCGTAATGATGGGAGTACTTCCCCTGTTGGCGCCGTTACAACCCAGTTAAAAGAATATAAACGCTAACAACAAACTGTTACGTTTTATTACAGTATATCAACATGGTATCTTTATTAAGATGGGAAAGTCCCTTTGAGACTGAGATCTCATTTTTACAGTACATAAAAAGGTATAACTGCATAATTAAACTTAACATCTTTATTAGAATATAACAAGCTACTAAAGAACAGTCATTTACAATATAGCACTGGCCAAAAGAATTATGACTTACAATAATATAAGAACACGTTATAGATGGTAAAAAAGAGAAAATAATAAAATAAATGCTTCAACTACACTCATCACACAGATGTTTTCCCTCTAAGTGGAAGCTGGTCCGGTCCTGTTTACGCGGCTGCAGCATCTGGAGACGAAACTACAACACGAGGATCTGATTAAATATTGCAGATGGTGTCTCTCCCCCCCCCCCCCAAAAAACAAGTACCAGTTTAAGAGCTGTAATCCCGTTGTGCTTTTTAAGTCACAAGAAATAGCATTTTGATTATGTGTCGCTTCTGTGACTTCATGTATATTATCCTGTAGAAACGTTACTCACCTCAAGCTTCCTGCATGAGGATGTAGTGTGATGTTCAGCAGGTATTAGTGAGCCGGGATGCTGCAGAATTAGTCAAAACAACAATGTATAAATTATACAAATGTAATAACAAATATTCAGAGCGTCTTTACTCAGTCATCTCTAAATGTATTTAAATGATAATTAACAAGCGCTGCCTGTCAGCCAGTAAAGTAAACATCTCAACACCCACTTGAGGTTATCACAGCAGATATCGCTGAACAACTCCGTCTTTTAATGCATTTCATCGTCATCATCGACTCCTGTTCAAACATTTGTTTTGCTAATGCAGCTTCCATTAGCAGTGCAGACTGTTTGTACAGCTGTGTGTGTGTGTGTGTGTGTGTGTGTGTGTGTGTGTGTGTGTGTGCGTGTGCGCGCGGGTGCTCTGCATTTACTGTAAAGCAAAGAGGCCTTTTGATCTAGAAACACAATTTGTACATGTTTTTAGTGTTCTGATTCATCTTTCTTTGCACATTGATATGATAGACCACAATAACACCGATGATGATGATGATGATTGCCTCCCTTCTGTGTCTTCTCTCCCTCCTCAGCCAAACCGGGATCTAGACATGTTCATAAACGCTTCAAAGAACTTTAACCTGAACATAACCTGGGCCTCGAGCTTCACCGGTAGGTCTCTGTGCATCACCCAAGACAATAAGAGCACAACAGATCACCCCCAAGACAATAAGAACACAACAGATCACCCCCAAGACAATAAGAGCACAACAGATCACCCCC